ATACACACGTGCACATACAGGCATGCACACACATACATGCACACACAGGCGCAGATACATGCGCACATACAGGCAGGCACCCACGTACACAGGCATACACATGTACACACATACATGCACACAGGTGCACATACATGTACACATGTACACATACAGATATGCACACATATACACATGCATACACACATGCACACTGCCTTGGCTCGTGGAGGACCTGCTCATTTCCTTTGCCTTCCAGGGCAAACGTGGCAAACATGACGCTGGGAGGATTCCATCATGCCACCTGGCAAGCCGTGCCCCCAGGCTGGGGTCTGCACTGTCTCCACACCTGGTGGGTCAGGGGTCAGGCTCTTCTCTGTGCCCAGTGGGTTTCTCACACAGAAACTGACAGTCTGGGTGGCTGCACAGGCTACAAATGACAGCCCCTTCCAGGGATGCCTGTTCCTGGAGGACCCTGGCTCACAGCTGCTATCAGGGCTGCATTGGCACTCATTTCTCCTGGCACCAGAATTGCCCAGGGATGCCACCCCTCCCAGGCCCTGGCCCCTTCTCCCTGCCCGGTCGTACTCAGGATAAACCCCAGCTCCTGCGCGACCTGGGTCCCCCAGGCCTCCTGCCTCACCTCCTCCCTTCTCCCCACTCCAGCCACAATGGCCTCCCTGATGCTGCTCCACACGCAAAGCTCCCTTCCACCAGGGGCCTTCCACCTGAAGTGCCTCTTCTCAGCCTCTGCACCTCATCCAGCTCCTTCTTATCCCTCAGATCTCTAGCTTGGAAGTCACCTCCTCCAAGAGGCCTTCCCAGACCACCCTACCTAAAGGAGCCCCACACTCCACACAGACCCTGATTGCTCTCACAGTCTTTCCCACACATGGAAATGGTCATGTTGGATGTTATTTTGCTTATGTGTGTCTCGTTGCTCAATGACTGTCTCCCTGAGGGGGGAAACCTGGGCCATCTTACTTCCCGATGGGTCCCTCCTGTGTAGAATCACACCTGGAATCAGCAGGTGCTCAGTGATGGCTTTTCTTTTTTGAGACAGTCTCACTCTGTTGCCCAGGCTGGAGTGCAGTGGCGCGTTCTTGGCTCACTGCAACCTCTGCCTCCCAGGTTCAAGCGATCCTCCTGCCTCAGCCTCCCAAGTAGCTAGGATTACAGGCGCCCACCACCACACTTGGCTAATTTTTGTATTTTTAGTAGAGATGGGATTTTAGCATGTCAGGCAGGCTGGTCTCGAACTCCTGACCTCAGATGATCTACCCACCTTGGCCTCCCAAAGTGTTAGGACTACAGGCATGAGCTATTGTGCCCAGCCAGGGATGATTTCTTGAGTGACTGGGTCACTGCTGCCCGCATCCCCTTATACACTCACCCTGCAGGCTGAGGTTCCTGAAGGGCCTGGGGAGAGGCCCAGAGAGGCTCCCAGTGACGGCCAACACCTGGTCATTCCACAGCACCTCCTGGTGCAGGGCATAGGTCCCATGAGCTCCCTCATATGTGATCTGCAGGAACAGCTCCCCAGGAAGCACGCTGAGCTGGAGGAGAATGATGGCATCACAGGGGAACCTGACACATGCTTCTGCCTGGGATGGGAAGGGAGAGAAGTTTGCAGAGGAGAAAAAAGGGAGTATTTGTGGATCATTTCTAGTTTCCTGCATGGCAACGTATGTCAGGGAATCAAAAGCCAAATGCTTCCTAAGGATGAGCAGATAACGTAAAGGAGGGGAGTGGGTGAGGGGACTATGGCCAACTGGAGACAGTGCAGAACAGCTACCTCTAAACTCCGTGGCCAAGCTGTGTGGCTCTGGGCAAGTTTCCAACCTCTCTGAGCCTCACTTTTCTAGACAATGAAGGCAAGACAGTGTCAACCTCTACAAGATAATACAAATAGTGCACTCAGCCCAGGGCTAGATCATGGAGAGGAGCTTGTAGGAGCCATGGTTGGTATTGAGTTTTCTCAATCATGTACTGAGCATGTATTATTCTCCCCAGCCAGTGCTGAGCTCCTGGGTACAAAGATAGCCAAGACCTGGCCTTGGCCCTTACGGGGCTTCCAGGCTGACAGGGACATAGTCACAGGACAGAAAATGATGGGACAAGGATGGTCACAGAGGCATTCAAGGGAGAAAGGAATGCAGAAAAGCAAGTTTGGGGAGGAGGCAGGGAAGAGCATTCCAGGCAGATGGAACAGCCTGTGCAAAGGCTCAGGGTGAGTTGCTGTCCTTGCTGGTAGGTACCATAGTCTGAGGGTCACTTGAGGGCACTGTAGGGGGACTGCTGGGGTGGGGTTGGAAGTTTCCTTTTTTTTTTGAGAAGGAGTCTTGCTGTGTTACCCAGGCTGGAGCACAGTGGTGCTATCTCTGCTCACTGGACCTCCACCTCCCAGGCTCAAGTGATTCTCCTTCCTCAGCCTACTGAGTAACTGGGACTATAGGCATGTGCCACCATGCCTGGATAATTTTTTGTATTTTAGTAGAGATTGGTTTTCACTATGTTGGCCAGGCTGGTCTTGATCTCCTGACCTTGTGATCTGCCTGCCTTGGCCTCCCAACATACTGGGATTATAGGTGTGAGCCACCACGCCTGGCCTTCCCTTAGATTTTCAAATGACTGGCACTTATCATCCATGGCTAGTTTAAGAGCCACCTCCTCAGTAGAGCCTTCCCTGGCCACCTAATCTAAATAAGCTCCCTGTTCACTCTCAGTCCCTTCAGTGCGTCTTCTCCATATCATGCTACTATCTGGCATATCTGTGGGATTTTGAGTAGTCAATCTCCCCCACTAGAGTACACATTTAATGAAAGGAAGGATCAGTTCCATTTTAGGTCACACCCCAGCTTCTAAAATAGTTCCTGGCACCTAGTAGATGCTCAATAAATAATGCAAAAGGAAGAACGGATGGATACAGACACAAGCTGATCATCTACTCCAGCAATTTTTGTCCATTTCACAGCCTTGCCTGCCCTTCCCTCCCTGGAACCAGAACATTAGGACAATTTCTCTTCTTTCAAAGATCTGTCCCAGAAGCACCCCCCCCTCCCCGCCACACCCTGGGCCTGGGCTGTCCTCCACACACCTGTAGGAAAGTCTGTTCCAGCTTCATGAAGTTGGTAAGACTGGCCTTAGCAGCTACCAGCCGGGTGCTGATGTGAAAGTAACGCTCTTCCACGCCCAAGGCAAACGTGCTCTGAACCTCACCCTTGGAGTAGTGTATCTGGGTCGGGGGAAAAAAAAACATGATAGATCTCCTCATCAGGGATCTGATGGAACATTTAAGCAGATGCTGGCTCTAAGCCATGAGCTCTGCCTCCCAAAGCCCCAGGCCCAAGACCCACAGGTTCCTGGACTGGAGGAGCTTCGATGAGGCAAGGGTTTGGAGCCTCAGTTCAGGCCATCAAATGTGGCCATGGCAACTATCTTCTCAGGCCCTCCCTGCTAAAACACTGACTTGAAAATATCTACCAGCCTGGCACCAGCAGGCAAGAGCTTTAGTTGCAGTACTTTTGCAGACCGCAGGGGGCAGTCTAGCAGAAAGGACAATGCTTGGGCTTGTGTCAGCATCAAACACACAGAGCTCCAAGTGTGGATCCACCACGGAGAGGTGAGCAATCTCCAGCTAGTTCCTTAACCACCGGAGCCTCAGCCTTCTAATTCAAAACACAGGGATAAGGACATCTATTTTATTATGGGTTGCTGTCAACATTGTATGAAATAATGTGCTAACTTCCAGGTTGGCTGAACAGCAGATTCGCTAGGGGAAACTTACTAAAAATATATTCTGGGCTCCCACTTAAAACCTACAAAAACAAAGTCTCTGGGAAGAGGTTCAAGAGCTAGTACTTTTTTTTTTTTTTTTTTTTTGAGATGGAGTCTTACTCTGTCACCCAGGCTGGAGAGCAGTGGCACAATCTTGGCTCAATGCAACCTCCACCTCCCAGGTTCAAGTGATTCTCCTGCCTCAGCCTCTCCAGTAGCCAAGATTACAAATGTGTGCCACCATGCCCGGCTAATTTTGGTATTTTTAGTAGAGACGGGGGTTTAGCCATGTTGGCCAGGCTAGTCTCGAACTCCTGACCTCAGTTGCTCTGCCCACCTCAGGATCCCAAAGTGCTGGGATTACAGGCTCGGGCCGCCACATCTGGCCAAGAACTGGTGCTTTTAATGAGCTCACCAGAGATGTGTCATTACATTAGTGATAACCCTGTCAAAAATGTTCAACCTGAATCTTGTCTTCAGCAAACAGTCTGACAAATCCACATTAGGAGAATGTTTTGCAAAATAACTTCCTGGACACTTCAAAATTGTCAATGCAGGATTTTTTTTTTTTTTTTTCTTTTTTGAGACAGGGACAGGGTCTGGTGTGTCATCCAGCCTGGAGTGTGCAGTGGTGTGAACACAGCTCACTGTAGCCTCAACCTCCTCGGCTCAAGCAATTCGCCCATACCTCAGCCTCCCGGGTAGCTAAGACTACAAGTAGGCACTGACATGCGTGGCTAATTTTTTCATTTTCTGTAGAGACAGGGTCTCCCTAGGTTGCCCAGGCTGGTCTTGAACTCCTGAAGTCAAATAATTCTCCCATCTCGGCCTCCCAAAGTGTTGGGATTACAAGTGTGAGCCACTGCATCTGGTTGGGATTTTTTTTTAACGGTGGTTAAGGATAATAAAATGTTTAGGGAAAATCATATTGATATCTGCAACTTGCTTTGAAATATATCCAAAACTAAGATGGATGGAGAGCTATGTGATTATGCAAAATAAAATGTGAACAGGAAAATCTAGGTATGTGGGTATTCAACTGTGAAATTACTTCCATTTATTAGTGTCTGAAAATTTGTATAATAAACTGTTGGGGGGGTGCTGGGCACAGTGGCTCACGCCTGTAATCCCAGCACTTTGGGAGCCCAAGGTGGGTGGATCACTTGAGGTCAAGAGTTTGAGACCAAGCCTGGCCACCATGGCGAAACCCCATCTCTACTAAAAATACAAAATTTAGCCAGGTGTGTAGTGCATGCCTGTAATCCCAGCTACTCAGGAGGCTGAGGCAGTAGCATCGTTTGAACCCAGTAGGCAGAGGTTGCAGTGAGTCGAGATTGCATTACTACACTCCTGCCTGGGTAACAGAGAGAAACTCTGTATCAGAAAAAGTTAAAAATAAATAAATAAATAAAACATTGGTTAAGGAAAGGTAGGGTGTGGAAGGAGAATGTTCTAGATCAGGAGCTGGCTTTTGGGCCAAATGTGGCCCACAACCTGATTTTATAAATAAAGTTTTATTGTAACGCAGCCATGCCTATTCACTTACATGTCGTCTAGAGCTGCTTTTGTGTTACAATGACAATTCTGAGTAGCTGTAACAGTGATCATAAGGCTTGCAGCTCTACATTTCACTTTACAGTAAAAGCTTGTAGACCTCTGTTCTAGGTTAAGAAAATTAAAAAGACATGGCAATTAGGTACACTGTGCGAACTTGGCCTGCATCCCATATTTAAAACAAAACAAAACAGTTTTTTGAAAAAACATTACTGGGAAAGCTGGGAAATTTTATATGGGCTGTACATTAAATGAAAGTATTACTTCAATGTTCAGTTTCCTGAATGCTGTAATTGTGTTAAATCAGAAAATATCCTTGTTACAGGAAAGAGGTTAAGTATTTCAGAGTAAAAAGATGACATCTTCAGAAACATCTCTATATTAATTCTTAATGATATGGAAAACAATGTATGACAATACGAATTTATGTAACACAGATGAGAAATATGGAAAGATATTAACAATTGGTCAATGTTCACTGTCCCACAGTAACTTTTATATAGGTTCAAATGACTCAAAACAAAACTTGGGGAAAAACTAAGCAGCTCCCTGAATGGAGCCAGGTGTGGCGGTACCACCTGTGGTCCCAGCTACCCTGGAGGCTGAGGCAGGAGGATCACTTGGACCCCAGAGCTTGAGGCTGCAGTAAACTATGATCATGTCACTACACTCCAGCCTGGGTGACAGAGCAAGACCTTTACTCAAAAAGAAATTTTAAAAATGAAAAGTAAGGCCGGGCACAGTGACTCACACCTGTAATCCCAACACTTTGGGAGGTGGTGGATCATTTGTGGTGAGGAGTTTGCAACCAGCTGGGTAAGACGGTGAAACCCCATCTCTACAAAAACAAAACAAAACAAAAATTAGCCAGGTGTGGTGGTGCATGCCTGTAATCCCAGCTATTCAGGAGGCTGGGGCGGGAGAATAGTTTGAACCCAGGAGGTGGAGGTTAAAGTGAGCCGAAATCATGCCACTGCACTCCAGCCTGGGTGACAAAGGGAGACTCTGTCTCAAAAAACAAATAAATAATAAGGAAAGAAAGAAGCTCCCTGAATGATTGTGCCATTGTAGCGAAGTGTAGGGAACTCCCAAATCACGTGTAAATTCAGCAGAGAACCCCAGCACATAGCGCGTGCTCTGTAAAGAAATTCGGCCTGGGCCAGGACTAAGAGGATGCCTAGCAAAACATGGTGGCTGGCCAAAAAATGAAATGACCAGTTGGCAGATGTCACCATTCATGCATGCGCTCACCCATTCATGCCCTGTTTTTTACTGAGCACCTACCAGGCACTGGGCCCTGTGCCAGGCACTAGGCATGCCCTCCAGGGAGCTCCAGAATTGGACATGGACAACGACAGCTCAGAGGGACAGAGGAACCTGGCCTAAGTCTAATGGACCCTTCTGTCCACTCCCAGGAACCCCCAGTCCTTCCTGCAGAGCAGAAACGGGGTTGACACTGGCTCAGTTCAAACGGCTGCGTCATCAGCTCCAGCCTCTACAAGTGCACCAGGCTGGGTGAGGCAACGCCAGGCACCAGGTACTGGGTGAGGAGGCCTCCCCCGTCTCCCAAAGGGCTCGTGGACCTAGCTGTGGGCCAGCCCAGGAACGTAAACCTGGGTATGTTTGGGAAAGCTGGAGCCAGAGGTTTCAGAGGGTGGCCCATGTGGGCCTGCTGCAGGCTGGCGGAGAGATGCGCATGCGTTAACATGCCCCAGAGGGGCCTGGCCCCCTTCCACCTGGGGCAAGCATCTGGAACCAGTTAGGAGCCAGGTGGCTGGGGCACAGTTACTTTAGCTGAGACTGAGGCTGAGCTGGGGCAGCAGCCCAGGAGGGAGGGGAGGCGATGCCGGCCTGAGAACAGGAGCTCTTTGCCAGAAAGAAGGAAAGAGAGGGCTTGAAGCTGGCAAGACGTCACCTTGTCCAGTGTCCCCAGGGCCAGGTTAAGACCAAGTCAACTTCTCCAAGAGAGGGTCAGAGAGCCAGGATCACACCAGTGGCCCAATGCAGGGCTATTCCCACACCCTGAGGCTCAAGGGCCATATGGTGTCCTGGTTAGGGCTGGACTCTGGAGCCAGGTGACCTGGGTTTGAATCCCAGCTTGGCCTCTACCTAGTTCTGGCACCATGGGCAAGCATCTCAGTTGCCCCTCTCTGAGCCTCAGTTTCCCCATTGGTATCAAGGGTTAAGCATGGCTCTGGGCTGCAAGTCTGCCATGAGCCCATCCATGAGCTTTCTTGGGTTGGTCCCATGGGAGCCCCAGCAGGGTCTGGACAGCAGGATTGTGACCCCCTGGCCGCCTCCCAGGGCTCCTCCTCACATAGCTCCCCTCCCCTCAGTCCTTCAGGCCAGGGTGGGAATCATCTCCATGTTTCCTTTTCTTTTTCCTAGAGACAGGGTCTTTTTCTGTCACCCAGGCTGGAGTGCAGTGGTATGATCTCTGCTCACTGCAGCCTCTACCTCCCAGGCTCAAGTGATCCTCCTGCCTCAGCCTCCCAAGCAGCTGGGACTACAACAAGCATCACCACACCTGGCTGCTAATTTTTAAGACTTTTAGTAGAGATAGGGGTCTCACTATGTTGCCCAGATTGGTCTCACCATGCTGCTGGAGCTCCTGGGCTTAAGCAATCCTCCCACATCGACCTCCCAAAGCACTGGGTTACAGGTATGAGCCACTGTCCCAGGCCTGTGTAACCCCAGGGCGCTGCACCCTCCTGTCGGGTTCCTCTCCACCCCAGGGTCTCAGCCTTGGCATAGCTGATGTCTTGGCTCATGGCCTTGCAGTCGTGGGTGTGTCCTGCGCACTGTAAGATGCTTAGCAGCATCTGTGGCCTCTGTACACTGACCCTCATAGCGTCCTCCTCCCCAGTGTAGCAACCAGAAACTCCCCAGACATGTCGAAAGTCCCTGGGGGTGAGGGGAGAGTCGCCTGTAAGTGAGGACCACTGGTTTACCCCTTCAACAAGTGGCTTACTCACTCCCTCCCTAGCTGCTGAGATCTGAGCACTGGAAACTAGCTGGTGGCGCCTGAAGTAGTGCATGCGTGAGAACACCGAGCACCTCACCAGGCACCCAGCCCTAAGGGCAGTAATAATCACTCGTAAGTGTCTGCAGCCTGGGATGCACTTAGTTTCTGAGACCAAGAACTCATCAGTGCTCTGCCTGGAGAGGTTGAGGGATTTTTACAGCTAGGTGACCCTGGGAAAGTCACTTGCCCTCTCTGAGCCTCCCTGCCCACATCGGTGCAGCGGGGCTGAGCAGAGGATTGAGAGGTGCTGTGTCCGGCATCGGTGCACAGTAGGTGCCCAGCCAATGATTCCTCCCCCCAACTCCTCTCCTCCTGGTAGGTGGGGGCCTCACCTGACTGCCTGGTTCTGGCCATGGACGTGAACAAGCAAGCTGGCCTGAGAATCGCAGGTCCGCAGCAGCGAGGAGCTCATCTCTTCTGCTGCCCAGAGTCCTAGGAATGTGAGCTGAGGAAGGAGCAGATTGTGAGGTGTGTGGGCATAGACAGCCTGAGGACCCTCACAGGCCAGTTGGGGACCCCAGCCAAGCTCTGCAGTCCAGCACGTCCCTGTCCCCAAGCCCCGCAGGCCTGGCTGATCCAACACTCTCACGGGTGCTGAGGATGCAAGGGGTCGGCCCCTGTTGCAGCTCAGGATGGCAATGCCCACTCAAAGGACAGCTGCAGCCCAGACATGGGCCGAGAACATGCTCCCCGGGGGGCTCCCCATCACCTGGCCTCGAGTCCAGGATAGAGTGTAGATGAAATCAGGGGCATGGGGTATCCAGTCCACTCAGTTGTGGGGTACAGAGCTGAGATCCTTTATAGGAGGGGTGACATCCTGGGCCCCTGAGCCCCCAGGAGCCCCCACTCTTCCCACTGCAGAGTGGACTAGGGCAGGGGTGATCTGAAACAGGAGTGTGTATGTGAAAGAAGCATTGGAGCCTGCTCTGGAACACACCCTGTGGCTTGGAGAAGGAGGGCCAACCAGGCAAGGCGAGTTCATGCCAAGTGACAGTGGCCACGGCATGGTCCCATGTGGGTGACTCCACCGAGGCAGGAGGACCCCGTGAGGAAGGACCTGGGTGCCAAGTCTGAGGCCCTATTTTGTTGTTTGCTTTGCTAGGTGACCTTGGGCGAGTCACCCACACTTTCACCTGTGACCCAGATACGATGGTGATGATGACAATGGTCACTGTCACACCATCAGCATCACCTTTTTCTTCTTTATCACAACGGTGCTTCTTAAGCATCTACTCAGGCATTTATGAGATTAACTCACTGAATCCTCACAACCTCCCTGTTATAGGCAGTATCATCAACCCCATTTTGCAGATTAAGAGATGAGGGCACAGAAAGGCGAAGGAATTTGCCCAGGGCCACACAGCTGGCAAGCAGCAGAGGTGGGATCCAAACACTAGAAAAAGCTTGGTAAGGAAGGGGCCACCCTGCCTCTCTCTGGGGCGTTGGGAGAATGAAACTAACAAATGCCCATAAACCCTTCAGTGGGGGCTGGCACGGGGTGGGCACTGGACAAGCAGGAGCTTTGATTCTGACCCAAGACTGCAGGGCAGAAAGACAGGTCAGAAGCCAGACGCTAATCCAGGGTGCCCGTCCACACCAGCCCTGCGATTGGGAAGGCAGAGCCTGCTCAGCACACCTGGTTACAGCGATTACAAATGAAGCCTTCATAAACTGTAAAGTGCTGGGGAAACCCAAGGCCTGGCCCTCCCTATCTGCGCTGTACACAGCAGGTCCTCTGCACCCCAGGAATTGGACAGAGGGGACAGAATTTGGAGGGAGGTCTTCCCCATGCACTCCTTACCTGGCTGGAGAAGGGCAGGCCCAGCCTCTGAAGAGCGGGCACTGTGTGGCTGGCATTGGCCACCATCTGCAGTGGGCCATGCAGTGGCCAAGCCACCAGGGCTGCCAGGTCCACGCTGACCCCACCGTCCCTGCCACAAAGGGCCACGTTGGCCTGGGTCTGGGAGTCTAGAGACAGAAAATGGCACGAGCTACTGAAGACAGGTCCATCTCCCTTCCCAGCCCAGGAAAACACCAGACTTCGGGAAGGGTCATGCCCTGGGGCCCTCAAAGACACCACCAGCGGGAAAGGGAAAGGCTCCCATGGCGGGCTGGGTGGGGTCAACCCGTTTTGAGTCTCCTTGACATGATCTATCATTTGTCCCTGAAGATCTAGGCCTGGGTGGCTCCTCCTTTCATTAAAGTTGAAGTTGTTGAAATGACACCTCCTCCAAGAAGCCTCCCCTGACTACCCATCTGAAGTCCCTCCCAATTCTTTGCTGCCAGGCATCCTCCATCCATCTCCCTGGAGTGGGGTTCCCAGCACAACCTGAAATGACCTCACTCACTTTCTTACTAGGTTCCTGCACCCCTACTGCCACTCCATGAGAATGCCAGCCCCCTGGGGGTAGGGTTTCTCTTAGGACAGCTCCTGACACACAACAGGGGGTCGGTGAGTACTTTCCGAATGACTGAGGGAGGCTGCTTCTCTGTAGGGATTCCTGGGGATTCTCTGAGCAGCCTGCAGATGAATCAGCATGATGTCTGCTCTTGATAAATGGCCACTGCAGCCTGATACCCACCCTGCAGCCACCTGGCCCTGGCTGGAGGGTCCCATCCCTCCCATCCCCCCACTCCCAGAACAGGAGAGTCTGACTCACAATAGGAGTTTCTTCTTTGACTTAGATTTCCTCTGCTACACATAGAAACCCATCGGGTCCAGGAGCCCCAGAGCAAACAGATGGCGCCTACTCTATGTCAGACACTAGGTTCCCGTGGGGTGCAGCTCATGGTTCAGGCCCAAGTGACACTCAGCCAGGCTCCAGCACCTCCCATCTGGCCAGCAGGGTGGATAAGCCCTGCAGCTCTGAGCCTCGACTTCCTTATCTATAAGGTGGACACAGCCCACCCGCCTCCACGGGAGAGCGTCCAGAGTAAATGGGGTAACACATGGGAGAGGACCGACTGTAGGGCATGCAGGAGGCCTGGGAAGCCCTTCCTTCCTTCCTCATTCCACACTCAACCACATGTACCTACTACGTGCAGGACAAGAGGATGGAGGGGACACAATTCCCACGCCTGGGAGCACCTGGCTGTCAAAGGTACCAAGAATGTTAAGGACAGGCAGAAAGTGTCCCCGAGAGGGGGGACAGCAGACTGCGGACAGCAATGGGAGGAGGGAGAGGTCACTCCTGGCTGGGGGCGGCCACACCAGGCATCCTGGGCCAGGAACTAGAGCAGCGTGAAAATGTTCATCCAGAATGACCTCCCATCACCCCATCACTTGTCACCAACAAATTCTGAGGTCAGCTCAGACTAGGGACAATTTCCTCATGTGATCCAGCCCTCCGTTCACCCCTCAGGAGGCTGAGGGCCAAAAATAAAGTTTTTTGTTTTTTTTTTGTTTTGTTTTGTTTTGTTTGTTTTTTGAGATGGAGTCTCACTCTGTCACCCAGGCTGGAGTGCAGTGGTGCGATCTTGGCTCACTACAACTTCCACCTTCCAGGTTCAGGTGGTTCTCATGTCTCAGCCTCCTGAGTAGCTAGGACTACAGGCATGCACCACCATGCCCAGCTAATTTTTTTTTGTAGAAACAGAGTTTCACCATGTTGGCCAGGCTAGTCTCTAACTCCTGACCTCAAATGATCCACACACCTCAGCCTCCCAAAGTACTAGAATTCAGGCATGAGCCATTGCACACAGCCCCCAAAATAAAAAGTTTGCGGCCAACAGAAGATGCCCTAGGGGACTAGGGAGACCCAGGGGTCCTGAATGGTCAAGAGCCAGGTCTCCATAATCTATATGGGGGTCAGAGGGTAGCTCTCTGTTCAATCCTTGCTCCACCATTACAAGCTGTGTGGCCTGGGCCAGGTGACTTAACTTCTCTGAACCTCCATTCCTCATCTGCAGAACGGGAACGGCATTCCTAACCCTACCTCATATGCTCATTCACGCACGTTCAACACCTACTATGTGCCCTGTGGCAAAGCAGACAAAAATCATTCCTGTCCTCCTGGAGCACACATTCTGGTGATTTCCAGTGTAGAGAAAATGAGAAACAAAGGTATTTGTATGCTACGTGGTGTGTTCAAATGACAGAGCTGGGGAGAGGGTGGGAGGAGATGGGGAGGTGGAAAGAGGCCTCTCTGAGATGCCATTGGAAAAACACCTAAGGGAGGCGAGGGAGCCAGGCAGGTGTGTGGGAGAGAGGCATTCCAGGCGGCAGGATCAGCCCATGCCAAGGTCCTGGGGCAATAGCAACCCCGAAGTGTTAAAGAATAGAAAGGAGTGGAACAGGTGGTGTTGGGGGCCGGCAGACGAGGTCAGATGGGGGAAGGGTGCGGGTTCTGCCAGCTCGCAGCCCCCTCTAAGAGCTGTGGCGTTCCCCTGTGTGATGGGGACAGCTGTACTGTACTGAGCTCTCGTGTGTACACAGCTTGCCTGGCATGTATGTAGTAAGTGCCCAGCCAATGCTGCCTCCTCTTATTGCTTTTATTTTCCCCCCATAATAGGCTGAACCATGGACCCCAAAAAGGTAATGAAGTCCCACTCCCCTCACCCTCTGTCCTATGAATATGACCTTATTTAGAAATAGAGTCTTGGCTGGGCGCGGTGGCTCAATTCTCACCCCAGCGCTTTGGGAGGCCGAGGTAGGTGGATCACAAGGTCAGGAGTTTGAGGCCAGCCTGACCAACATGGCGAAACCCCATCTCTACTAAAAACACAAAAATTAGCCAGGCATGGTGGTGCACACCTGTAATCTCAGCTACTCAGGAGGCTGAGGCAGGAGAATCACTTGAACATGGGAGGCAGAGGTTGCAGTGAGCCAAGATCATACCACCGCACTCCAGCCTGGGTGACAGAGTGAGATTCTGTCTTAAATAAATAAATAAATACATAAGTAAGTACATGGTCTTTACAGATGGAATAAGTAAAAATAACGTCACATTAAAGACAGGCAGGTCTTCAATCCACTGTGGATTGTTTTGTTTTATTTTGAGACAGGGTCTCATTCTGTCACCCAGGCTGGAGCACAGTGTTGCAATCATAGCTCACTGCAGCCTCGACCTTCTGGCTCAAGCAATTTTCCTGCCTCAGCCTCTTGAGTAGCTGGGACCACACACACGTGCCACCACATCCGGCCAAGATTCCTGTGCACGCCAGCTAAGATTTCTGGGTCTTAAGCCATTCGGTATGTGGGACTTGGTTGCAGAAGTCCTAGGAAACTAATCTGCCTGCCTTGGGAGTGAGGCCATTCATGGGCAAGGCTGTCCTGGTTGTCCCAGAGCCCAGGGCCACACTGGGCTTGATGGGGTGCCATCTGGGTCCAGAGGAAGCAGCTAGCTCCCCAGTCCCAGGGCTGTATGTTGAGTGCCTTACCATGTATCTGCAGCTCTGCGAGCAGGGAGGCCTCGCCTGGGAATCCAGCCCACAACAAGGCCTCACTTTTATGCCGGCTCTGGCCAGAGAGCTCCAGGTGCCCATCATGGTAACAGCAGCTCACAGAGTAGTTGAGAGATGTGAGTCCTATCAGGATGCGTGCAGAATGCTCAAAGCCCGAGCTGCCATTGTGAATGTCCGTGAAGACCTGGAATGCCACCAAGGAGATGCTGGGCCACCCTGTGCAGAGACACAGCCAGCCCCGAGCAACCTGGCACTGGCTCCCACACACCCTGGGGTTATCAGTGCCATCCGTGTCCCTGTGGTGGGAGGACCTCAGACCCTCTTGAAGGAGCAGGTTTGATGACCAACGCAGTTATTCCAGCTAATTACACGTGCACCAAGGAACCCACAGAGAACCAATCAGGAGGTGGGGCAGGCAGGGGAGAGGGGCCTGGGGAGGACGGCCAGATCAAAACTCTGGGAAGAGGAAGATGTCCTGGCTGATGAGAAACAGGTTGGCAACTACAGCCTACACCTTTTGTTGTAAATAAAGTTTTATTGAAACATAACCCTGCCTGTTTGTCACAGGTGTGTGAACCAGAGCAACTCCATCTTGAATAGGGGCTGGGTAAAGTGAGGCTGAGACCTACTGGGCTGCATTCCCAGATGGTTAGGCATGCTAAGTCACAGGATGAGACAGGAGGTCACACAAGATACAGGTCATAGCCAGGCATGGTAGCTCATGCCTCTAATCCCAGCATTTTGGGAGGCTGAGGTGGATGGATCCCTTGAGGTTAGGAGTTCAACACCAGCCTGGCCAACATGGTGAAATGCCATTTCTACTAAAAGTACAAAAAAAAGTACAAAAGTACAAAATCTTGCTCTGTCACCCAGGCTGCAGTGAAGTGGCACAATGTCGGCTCACTGTGATCTCCACCACCCGGGTTCAAGCCACCTCAGCCTCCCAAAGAGCTGTGATGGTAGGCGTGGGTCACTGCACCTAGCCTCTGCATCAACATGTTTAAATTCTTCTGACAGCTGTGCTTTAGGAAGAGTGTTCTGACAGCCATCGGAAATAAATGACAGAATGGCAGGACGAGGATCATGAACAGGGTGGCTGTGGACATCTGCTGGCCAGCAGCAGGAAAGCCACTCAGACCCCGGATTCTACCTCTGCAGCCTGCCTGCACATGAACACTCCTTCCCACATCAGTAGAAGCCTGGAACTCTCAGAACAACAGACCTCATCAGCCGCTGCCACCTTCACCAGAATGATGTGATTAACTTGTTCACACAGAAGACAGCAGGAACCCCGAGAGAACAGGATCCAGAATGTGTGGGTTTTGATGGACAGGGTGGTAGGATCTGGGAGGCTCCACCTACCTCACCCCCTGACCCCCACACTCCTTCCCCAGTCCTGCTCAGCATAGAGACTAGAGTGACATTACCAGAGATGTAGATGCTTGGAAGGACACCAGCGACACGGAGAAGAGGAGGCCGGAGGTCCGCAAGGCGCCCAGCTCCTGGCCTCGGATGGCCAGGACTCTGTCCAGAAAGGCTCCCTCCCAGCCACGGAACTTGATGGTCCTTGAGTTCCTGAGGATGGAGCTAGTGAGCCGGGCCCGCAAGTCCTCCTGCCTCATTTGCTCTCCTGGGATTGGAGGGGAGAAAGAGATGAAGACACGGCCGGTCCAGAATTCTCCCCTGCACCCTGACAGTCACCCTGCAGCAAATCCCACTGATCTCACCAAGTGCGTCCCAAAGCTGTCTGCCTCTCCGCATCTCTGACCCTCAGCCCTGATCCATCCACCGTCATTCTGTGCCTGGACTCCTACAGAAGCTGACCTGGGACCACTGCCCTGGGGAGGCAGCTTCTGATACCTGGAGAACAGAGGCTGCCCCTGAGCCCACCTGGGGATGGCGCCATCAGGAAGGCTACCTGGAGGTGGGTAATGCCTGAGTTACATCTTTTTTTCTTCCTTTTACATTTTTGATGGAGTTGGGGGGCGGGTCTTACTATGCTGACCAGTCTGGCCTCAAGCGATCCTCTGTCCCCAGCCTTCTAAAGTGCTGGGATTACAGGCGTGAGCCACCGTGCCTGGCCATGGGTTTTCTTGAACCAAAGCATATTCCTTGTCATGTTTAACAGAATTGTGCCCCAGCCCTGTACTTTCCTTGATTCGCCCTCCTTTGAATAGCGAACCTCTCAAAAGCTGTAATGAACATGGAAGAGCCGCTGGCTGGGTGGGCTGGGTGGTGGCTGGGGGGCTGGGGTCCCAGCAGTTGGCATCCCCTTTCCCAGGATGTACACATGGCCTCAGGTACCTGTCCTTTTATCTCCTAGGTCAGCTCGTCGACACTGTCTGGGTGAAAAAAGGAGACCAGGTCATGTTTTCATCCATGTTCATAGCCAATATCGCCATCCACAACATTGCCGTCAGTGCGTGCCCGAGCCACCAGTAGCCTAGAAATATTTAGACCTGGTTTATTAACCATACACCTGCCAGACCCAACCCAGCCAAAACTTGAAATCGACAGGGTGCAGTGACCCACATCTGTAATCCCAGCAATTTGGGAGGCCGAGGCGGGAGGACCTCCTGAGGTCAGCAGTTTCAGACCAGCCTGGTCAACATGGTGAAACCTCATCTCTACTAAAAATATAAAATGAGCTGGGTGTGCTAGTGCACACCTGTAATCCCAGCTACTCGGGAGGTTGAGGTGACAGAATCACTTCAGCACAGGAGGTGAAGTTTGCAGTGAGCCGAGACTGAACCACTGCACTCCAGCCTGGGCAGAGCACAAGACTCCAGCTCAAAAAACAACAGTAACAACAACAAATCAAACCCCCCCCACCTTTTTTTTTTTTTTTTTTTTTTAGAGATAGATAGGGACTTCCTGTGTTGTCCAGGCTACAGCGCAGTGGTACAATCATAGCTCACTGCAGCCTCTTACTCCCAGGCTCAAGCGGTCCTCACACCTCAGCCTCCTGAGTAGCTGGGATTACAGGTGCATGCTACCAAGCCCAACTAATATTTGTGTGTGTGTGTGTGTATGTGTGGAGATGCAGTCTCACCATGTTGGCCAGGCTGGCCTCAAACTCTGGGCTTCAAGTGATCCTCCCATCTCAGCCTTCCAAAGTGCTGGGATTACAGGCATGAGCCTCTGTTCCTGGCCAAAACCTAATTACACATTCATGAATGACCGAGGGCATGGGCTTCTGTGTCCTTTAACAATGAAATGGATTATTCCTTGGGAATAACTTTGCTGGGGATGCTGTAACAAAGTGCCACAAACTAAGTGGCTTAGAACAAGACAAACTTGTTGTCTCAGGCCAGATGCCGTGGCTCATGTCTGTAATCCCTGTACTTTGGGAGCATGAGAGGATCTCTTGAAGTCAGGAGTTTGAGACCAGCCAGGCCAATAGGATGAAACCCCATCTCTACTGAAAAAATACAAGGCCGGGAGTGGTGGCTCACACCTGTAATCCTAGCACTTTGGGAGGCTCAGGTAGGCAAATCATGAGGTCAGGAGTTCGAGACCAGCATGGCCAACATGGTGAAACCCTGTCTCTACTAAAAATACAAAAATTAGCTCAATGTGGTGGCATGTGTCTGTAATCCTAGCTACTCAGGAGAATGAGGCAGAAGAACTACTTGAACCCAGAGGTGGCGGTTGCAGTAAGCTGAGATCGTACCACTTTACTCCAGACTGGGGGACAGAGCACGAATCCATCTCAGAAAAAAAAAAAAAAATACCCAGGCATGGTTTCATGTGCCTGTGTTCCCAAGCTACTCAGGAGGCTGAGGTGGGAGGATTGCTTGAGCCAGAGAGAATGAGGCTGCAGTGAGCTGAGATCATGCCACTGCACTCCAGCCTGGGTGACAGAGCGAGACCCTGTCTCAATAAATCAATAAATAAAGTAAAAAGTTGTTGTCTCCCAGTTGGGAGGCCAGAAGTGTAAAGTCAGGTGTCTGCAGGCCGGGCTCTCTCTGGAGGCTCTGGTGAAAAATCAACCTTCACCTTCTGTGTTCAAGCAGTTCTCCTGCCTCAGCCTCCTGAGTAGCTAGGATTACAGATGCGTGTCCCCACACCCACTAATTTTTATATTTTTAGTAGAGACAGGGTTTCATTTTTAGTAGAGACAGCCTCTTCTCCTGGCTCAGGCATCTCTTGACCTATAGTGGTCATTGTCCTCCTATGTATGTCTGTCTCTGTGTGCAAATTTACCTTTGGGCAGGCGCAGTGGCTCACGCCTATAATCCCAGCACTTTGGGAGGCCAAGGCAGGATTGCTTGAGCCCAGAAGTTCAAGACAAGCCTGGGAAACATAGTGAGATACCGTCTCTACATAAAATACAGAAAATTAGCTGGGCATGGTGGAACACACCTGTAGTCTCAGCTACTCAGGAAGCTGAGGCGAGAGGATCACTTGAACCCAGGAGTTTGAGGCTGCGTTGAGCTATGATCTCACCACTACACTCCAGCCTGGGTAACAGAACAAAACTGTCTCAAGAAAAAAATATTTTATTCTTTCTTTTTCTTTCACTGGCAACAAATCTCCCTTTTAGTAAGAACACCAGTTATATGGGATCAGGGCCCCACCTTCATGACCCATTTTAACTTGATGACCTCTGTAACGACCCGGTCTCCAGATAAGGTCATGCCTGTAATCCCAGCATTTTGGAAGGCTGAGGTGGGAGGATGACTTGAGGCCAGGAGTTCAAGACCAGCCTGGGAAACATAGTGAGGCTTCACCTCTACAAAAACAGACAAAAAAATTAGCTGGGTGAAGAGGTATGTACCTGTAGTCCCAGCTCCTCGGGAGACAGGAGCACAGAGTCAGCCCAGGAGGTCGAGGCTGCAGTCATCTGTGCCACTGCACACCAGCTGGGCAACAGCAAGACCTAGTCTGTCTGAAGAGAAAAAAAAAAATGTTTGCTGATCCAATGTGGGGTAATTTTTAAAAACTTATCTCTGTATTTTTTCATATTGCTTAGCTTTTCCACATGAACTCTGTGATTATAACCAGAAAATAGCAGTCTCATTACTTTTTTTTGTTTTTTTTGAGATGGAGTTCTGATCTTGTTGTCCAGGCTGGAGTGCAGTGGCATGATCTCTGCTCACTGCAACCTCTGCCTCCTGGGTTAAGCGATTCTCCTGCCTCCGCCTCCTGAGTAGATGGGACTACAGGCGCATGCCACCCCGCCTCACTCATTTTTGTATTTTTAGTAGAGAGGGGGATTCACCATTTGGTCAGGCTGGTGTCGAACTCCTGGCTTCAAGTGATCTGCCCGCCTCCGCCTCTCAAAGTGCTGGAATTGCAGGCATCAGCCACCGCACCCGGCTGTGCTTATCTTTTTGTCCACAGAAATGACCAGCATTTCAATTTTTGTCTTGTTTTGTTTTTCTTAGATGAAAACAAACTGGCAGTTATAATTGGGAAGGACAATTTGCATTATGGGAATCTAGGAGTCGTGCCAAGTTCTGTAATCAAAGTTGGTAAAAAGAAACTGGGGTTATGGGGTGGGGGCAGTGGCACATGCCTGTAATCCCAGCACTTTGGGAGGCCGAGGTGGATGGATCACCTGAGGTCAGGAGTTTGAGACCAGCCTGGTCAATAAGGTGAAACCCCGTCTCTACTAAAAATACAAAAATTAGCCAGGCCTAGTGGTGAGTGCCTGTAATCCCAGTTACTCGTGAGACTGAGCAGGAGAATCGCTTGAGTCTGGGACGGGGAGTGAGACTCTGTCTCAAAAAAAAAAAAAAAAAAAAAAAAA